GAAGAGGCTGCAACACAGACAAAGACGATTCAAAGTAATCATCCCAGTCAAGTGACGGAATCTGAAAGAGGTGGGTGTTGTTACATCCTTTAATTCTCATTGAATAGTTTATTTAATTGTTTTTAGATAGTAAATAGAATTACTGTGTTTATTTTAGAACTAATCTTTTGTAATAATAATATAATATAATATAATATAATATAATATAATATAATATAATATAATATAATATAATATAATATAATATAATATAATATAATATAATATAATAAAAAGTACTAATAAGTAGTATATAACAATAAATTTATGAACTTCAAAATAACGAGTGTATTATATAAAATAATAGTAAATATAAATGAATTAAATAACAAATAATCTTCATTCCATTGATGAAGAGGAATCAGTAAACTTCTCAACATTCGGCCTTGATAACAATTGAGCACCAGAGTTGTTTCGTTCAGAAGTGTGTTGGAATTGAATAGGTGAAGCTCTAGTAGAATCATTAGCAAGTAAATTGACCTTTATCTTTGGACTTAAAGATACAGAATTGTCTTTGTCAGATTTAGATGAACTTGAAGAAGATAGAGAGGACGTTGAAGAGGACATGATAATTTTCTTGGTATGAGCAAGTCTACGTAACTCTTCCACACAACCAGATTGTTGTACAAGTCCATGAAAGAGTGTGTCTTTCTCTTTAATTAAATTAAGTGGAGTGTCCATTTCTTTTAATTTTCCTTTATCAAAGACCATCACTTTATTTGAGTCCATAATAGTCTGTAATCTATGTGCTACAGTGATCACAGTAATGTCTTTAAAGTTCCTTCTGACCATCATTTGAATATTTCTATCTGTTTGAATATCTATATTAGCAGTTGCTTCGTCCATAATTAAGATCTTAGAATTTTTCAATAATGCTCGAGCTAAACAAATTAACTGTCTTTGACCCAAAGAGAAGTTGTCACCACCTTCTGTCACAACATCATCAAGTTGATTTGTTGATTCGACCATTAAAAGTACTTTTCGTAATTTGTCATCGTCCATTTGGTTCCATGGATCCAAATTGTCTCTTACAGTACACTAAATAGTGTGGCTTCCTG